CTATTAATGACCAACCAACTACTGGATCTAGAATCTAAGAGCCACTGTGGATTAAAGTTGAGGAGGAAATTCAGTTTGTCGATTGGACAAAAGTTAGTTTGGTTGAAGACGTTTCTCAGCTGATCCAAGCTGCTTTTTCAGTTCTGGTCAGACACTGGTGGACACTTCCTTATCAATCAATCAATCAAACTTTATTTATAAAGCACTTTTCATACAAAAATGTAACACAAAGTGCTTTACACAGATTAAAAACCATCCCACATTTCCACCCACCCACCAACCCAACCCCCACAGCTGCCCGACTCGACACAACCAAACAACGCAGACACCCAAACACCCCCCCTACACACACACACACATACACACCCACACACACATTAACCCGCTAAAATACATAAAACGACACATAGTAAAATGTGAGGCTGAATACAGGCGAACCAGTTGAGAAAGCACCCATCAGAGGAGCCGTCTGCACCGGGAGCAGAGAGACGTCCACCACCACCAGGAACCACCACAGGGGCCAGGGGAGAGATGAAGCCCAAACACCAACTCTCCACCAGGAGCCCACGGGACAGACCCCGACAGCCACAGCCGACCTCCGCTCCCGATGCAGAGGCTCCTACAGAGGAAACACTGCATATCCTAAAAATAAGCCTAAAATAAATAAATATAATTAAAATGTGTATAGTAGAAACAAGTAAAAAATATGATGTTTCATTCAAAAGCTAAGCTAAAAAGGTGGGTCTTGAGCCTGCTCTTAAAAACATGAACGTTCTCTGCAGCCCTGAGCTCCTCCGGCTGCAGTTCCATAGACGAGGGCCACAGTACTGAAAAGACGCCTCCTCTCCGTGAGTGTGTGTCCTGACTTTGGGAATGACCAGGAACCTGCTGCCGGAGGAGCGCAGGGTCCGCGAGGGTTCGTAAGGTAAAAGCAGTTCTGAAAGATGAGAAGGCCCAAGACCATTAAGACCATAAAAACCAGTAAAAGAACTTTAAAATCGATCCTGAAACTCACAGGAGCCAATGCAGTGATTTTAAAACCGGTGTAATGTGGTCCCGCCTCTGGTCCTCGTCAGGACACGTGCGGCAGAATTTTGTAGTAATTGTAAACCTGAAATACTCTTTTTGGGAAGACCAGAGAGCAGGGCATTACAGTCGTCTATTCGACTGGTGATAAAAGCATCAGCGTCTCTGTGTTGGCCAGAGAGAGAATGGGGCGGACTCTGGCTATGTTTTTTAAGTGATAGAAACCAATTTTTGTGATGTTCTTAATGTGTGGAATAAAAGTTAGCTCAGAGTCAATAATGACGCCCAGGTTTTTTACTTGAGGAGAAGGATTAAAAGACTGTGTTTGTAGTTTGGGTAAAAGTTTCTCTCTCTGGGCCTCAGGACCAATGACTAAAACCTCAGTTTTGTCCTGGTTAAGCTGGAGAAAGTTTTCTGCCATCCAGGATTTGATATCTAGAATGCAGTTAAAAAGAGCATCCATTGGTCTGGTGTCATCAGGAGACATGGAGATGTAAAGCTGCGTATCATCTGCGTAGCTGTGGAAGTTGATTCCATGTCTCCTGATGACACCACCAAGAGGGAGCATGTACAAGTTAAAAAGCACAGGGCCTAAAATGGAACCCTGGGGCACACCACATGTGATTTTATGGACCCTGGAGGAGCATGTGTCTACACTCACCATAAATGTTCTGTCTGTGAGGTAGGATGTGAACCATCTGTGAACAGCACCGGAGAGGCCGAGGTGTTTTAGGCGAGTTAAAAGAATAGTGTGATCTACTGTGTCAAAGGCAGCGCTCAGATCCAGTAGAACCAACACGGTCACTTTTTGTGAATCGCAATTTATTCTAAAATCATTTAAAATCTTTGCCAAGGCGGTCTCGGTGCTGTGGTTCACCCTAAAACCAGACTGAAATTTTTCAAAAATGTTATGATCATCTAAAAAAATAATTTAGTTGAATAAAAAATTTTTTCTAAAAATTTTTGCTTAAAAATGGTAGGTTAGAACACTGGTCGGTAGTTGTTAAAATCATTAAAATCTAAATTGCTCTTCTTCAGCAGGGGCCTCACCACCGCTGCTTTGAAGGCAGAGGGAAAGACCCCGTCTGAAGAGAGCAATTCATCATGGTTAAAAGCTCATCCCTAAAAGATCCATAAAATGACTTAAAAAATGGGGTAGGAATTGGATCTAAAAGACATGTGGTGGGCCTCACTGAGGAGAAAACTTTGTCAAGCATCTCAGCATTAACCAGGACAAAACTGTCCAGTTTTTTCTTCTTGTCTAGACAAACACTCAGATGTACTAAAAACAGAGCTTGACAAGATAAAATATCACATCTGATACCATGAAGTGGTCTGCAAACTGCTCACAGAGAGAGTCAGTGGGTGTTAAGTAAAACATGCTAAAATCAGGGTTTAAAATGTTGTCAATGGTTGAAAAAGAACTTTTGGGATTATTTTTTGTTATTGGTTATTAATGTAGAAAAGTAATGGTTTCTTGAGTTTCTTATTGCGTTGTTGTAAGTCCGTTGCTGATCAGTAAATAATTGATAGTTTATTGTAGTTTTGTTTTTTCTCCATCTACGTTCTGCCCTCCTGCACTCTCTCTTGGACTCTTTCAGCTCTTCAGTTCTCCATGGGGGTTTTAGCTTAGTTTTGATGTTTTTAGTTTTGAGTGGAGCAACCAGATCCAGAGCTGACCGTAGTTTACTGTTTACTGTGGTCAGTGATAAAATCGCAGGGGCAGGTAAAACCATTGGGGGATTTTTATTTAAAACTTCGATAAAATTTGCAGCCACTTCAGGGGTCAGACGGCGCTTCCTCACAGTTCTCACAGACGTCTCCCGGTGTATAAAACCAGTGATGTTAAAAAACACACAGTAGTGGTCAGACACAGCCAGGTCAACAACAGAGGACACACTAGTGGTCAGGCCATAGGTGATGACCAGATCCAGAGTGTGTCCTCTGTTGTGAGTTGGCTGTGTGACGTGTTGAGTAAAATCCATATAATTAAGAACATTTTAAAATTCATTTGCGGCAGGATCTAAAAGATTATCTATGTGTAAGTTAAAATCACCGGTTATAATAATCATATTAAAAGAATTGTGTAATATAGATTATATCTGCAGGGAGGAGCTAACTACACTGAAACTACTCTGAAACTAACACACACGCTTGTTTACAGTTTCTGTTAGTTAGTTCGGTCTATTGACAGGATGTGGGGTCTAATTAACATAATTCATGTCCATAATGGAGCTTCCTCACCTCTGGACCTGACCTGGCTCCACCTGTTGTTCTCTTGTTTGTTTTGTTTTAGGTTTGAGGATGGAGTTGTAAATAGGAGAGAGATGGTGTCTGAGGCCTCCATTTCTGTTTAGAGAAGGATTCTCTTTCTTAACAAAAATAGCTTCTTTCACTCCCCTCTCAAACCAATTCTTTTCTCTGGCTAAAATCTGTACCTCGCTGTCCTCAAATGAGTGGCCCGTGGCTTTTAAGTGGAGATGAACAGCAGACTGAGGTCCTGTGTTGCTCTCTCGTCTGTGTTGGTTCATCCTGTTGTGAAGCTGTTGTTACGGGCCCCAAGTACTGGGGCTGCCGTAGCAGAGATGACACAATCTGAAATATAATAATAATAATGAAAACCGGGAAGATGCGGAGCGCTCTCTTCTGTGTCCAGATTGCATTTTTTAATTGATCAGTATCAAAAATATAACACTACACCATTAAAGTGCATTGTGTCCCAGTACACATTCTTCAAGTCACCACACACACAAAACAACCCTCACAACTTAACAAATTACTAATAACAGGATTACTCAGATGGACTGGACACTAAACTGTACTTTTACTATGTTAAACTTTGTCAAAAATAAAAGCATACAAATGTTTTTAATTACAACAGACCTAAATAGACCGCCTGAATTCTGACGCTGGCAACCATGGCAACTCCACCGCTAACCTAAACCTTAACCGTTATCTTACAATTATTAGTGGAAAATTACCGATTAACATACTAATAACAATGAAAACAATATCACATGTTGATAAAACACTCAAAAATAGTCTTACACTGAATTATGTGGGTGGCTTTTACCGTGTACTAACCTGAAATATAATAACAATAATGAAAACAAGGAAGACACGGAGCGCTCTCTTCTGTGTCCAGATTGCGTTTAAGGCGAACCGGAAGTTGCGCCCTAAATCCAACCTGGGGCGACGCCTCTAGCACAAAGGTTCCGCGTTATTAATCTATTTCTGAT